TGAATTTTAAAAGCAGAAACCTTGGTTTCTTATCCTACATCGCGGATGTCAAACTCGATTGCGTCACGTGACGTATCGCAATGTATCATGACATTTTATGGCTTTGGTGAGCTGGTGTGTGTGTGTGGCTTGTACGTGATGCATCTGGCCCACGGGCTGCCAGTTTGACACCCCTACATGGTCTATTGACATTTGAATCTTTAGAGTTCTACCAGTTGCAAATATGCTTAATTAGAACAGGTGTTATTTCCACAAGTGAACAAAAAAAATATATATATTCAGCAAAAATTGTCAATCACAGACTGACAAAATATTATTGAGAAAATAAGAGAATTGGCCATTTATAGGGAAGATACTAGAGTAAATGACAAACAAATTGAACAACGGGGGGGGGGAGATTTGTTGTGGCCTGTCAGTCACCGCCCCCCCCCCCCGCAGGCAAATCAGAGGAGGAAGAAGTGTAAGAGTCAGGGTCAGCATCAAGGCAACTTGAGAGCTCTGTTATATCTTTTCAGTCTGTAATATCAAGGTATATTTGCCATAATTTTTGCTGTTTGGAACTTTATGCTCCAAGCAATTAGAGTGGCCAAAACTGCCAATCTTTTGTGGCACAAGGAGGTTGAGATGATTCCCTCCCCTCTTCCTTTGAGGTCCTTCTCCAAAGGAACCAAGATCCTTGTTGGGATCCAATACCTGCCATGGCTGCAGCCTTGAAGCCCTCAACTTCTCTTTGTCCTTCTGTCTTCTCCTCCTAGATATGGAGGCATATGCAGCATTCAAGGCATGGGTCAGAGTCCTCATGATACTGAAAACTTTTAGTTTAGTTTCAAACAGCATACCACTTATTTTATCCTCCATTGGTGCTTTCTGGGTGCATCTTCTCCGGCCTTTGACAGAAAAGGCATGCTTTGAAAAAGAACAGTGCAAAGACCGATCTCGATATTGGGGTTCTACATAGTGATAGGGGTATAGGGCATTATCTTTTTTTTCCTGTAAAGAAAAAATCCATACACTATGAATGTACTTTAACAGTTTGTTCCTTCGTATGTTATGTTTCTCCAAGATTGTGAGGATCCAGACTTTGCCTTCTATAGGTCCAGACAACTGCCTAAATGTTAAATGGAAAGGAATAATTCTCTCCAAAATAGGAACATGTTCGATGGAGTGAAGAAAGACATTGACTTGTCTCCACTTAGAGATGGCATTCCTGAGGGGTGCTGTACGCTGAGTCGTTGAGAATCGTTGTGATATAACAACACAAATCCCATTCCTGACAAGCATCCGAGTAAAAGTCCTCATGAAATTCTCTCCATTTTCTGTGTCTGAAGCAAAGAGACCAATCGAGGTCCATCTGAAATGGAGGAGCAGTTGGACAATGCCAGGATATTGGATCCCTTCTTTGGGTAACATTGGGTGGAAAAAGGGGAATTGACTTTTATCACTCAGAGCCTCCGAAACAATTTCATAACTGGTCTGAAAAAAAATTATGAAGAATTCTGTGTTATATTTGGAGTCAGATCAAGTCCAAATGTTAGCTTTTAATCCATTCAATGTGGTTCTTATGAACATATAAGAATAGTAGGTGGTTGATCAGTTACTGGACCCCATATGAAGATACATAATGTAAGAAGCAGAACCTTATATAAAATGGAATAAAAACAAATTAATAAGAATAAAAGAAAAGAATCAAGACTACAAATAACATTTCTGTATCATCACAAGTTACCACAATGAGATCCACATATGGGGATACCAGCTGAACTCTTTTGTTCAACTACAGTTTCATATTATAAGTATTTTTTAAAATTCTGATTGCAAAGGAAATATATTGTTTTAATGTATAGATTCCAAAAGGTCCTTCATCTAATCTGCGGTTTAAGATACTGATCTCTCTCTTTCATATACATATTAATATAAATATGATATAGTTCATATTCTAGAACTACGCCTATGGTATGACCTAAATTTAGTACATAAAATTATCCACTACAATGTCCTACCTGTCAATGACTACTTCAGCTTCAACTGCAATAATACATGAGCACACAAACTCAAGGTAAACCGCTCTAAACTCAATTGCAGAAAATATGACTTCAGCAACAGAGTGGTCAATGCCTGGAATGCACTACCTGACTCTTTTGTTACATCCTCAACATCCCCTAATTTTAACCTTAAACTGTCTAGTGTTGACCTCACCCCATTCCTAAGAGGTCTGTAAGGGGCATGTATAAGCGCACGAGCGTACCTTCCATCCCTGTCCTACTGTTCCCATTAATTCGTTCCCATTTCCTGTATTAATATCAATGTTTATACTTATTCCTGTTATGTCGTACATGTTTGACAAACTAAATAAATAAAATAAATAACTATTAACATTTAGATAATTGATATGTTACATTTTTTTTTATCTCTGGAGCTTCACAAATAGAAGTTTTTGGGTTATTTAACAACTATTCCAGGTGCTGAAATTTTCTCGAGTAAATACCACCAATTGAGATATTTCTTGAATAGCCCAGACAGTAGGAGGTTCTAGTGAAAGACTTGCTCTTTGAGACTTCTGTGATAGATTATATCAACAATAGGTTGGGGGATGGGGGTGGGAAGCAACAGCAATAGGACCACTTCACATTGCTTTACAGCTCTCTCTAAGTGGTTTACAGAATCGGCCTATTGCCCCCAACAATCTGGGTCTTCATTTTCCCACCTCAGAAGGATGGAAGGCTGAGTCAGCGTTGAGCCTGGTGAAAATCAAACATCCAATTTACAGTCAGCCAGCAGTCAGCAGAAGTAGCTTGCAGACACAGATTTCAGAGGATAATTAGAACTGCAGAAAAAACAATTGCTACCAACCTGCCTTCCACTGAGGACCTGTATATTGTACGAGTCAAAAAGAAGACTGTGAAAATATTTACAGACCCCTCATATCCTGGACACAAACTGTTTCAACCCCTATCCTCAAAATGATGCTATAGAGCACTGCACACCAGAACAACTAGACACAAGAACAGTTTTTTCCCCAAACACTATCACTCTGCTAAACAAATAATTCCCACAACACTGTCAAACTAGTTACTAAGTTTGCATTACATTAGTATTATTGTTCCTATCACCCATCTCCTCCCACTTATGACTGTATGACTGTAACCTTGTTGCTGGTATCCTTAAGATTTATATTGACTGTTTCCTAATAGGATTTGATTGCTTAATTGTTCCCTATGACTATCATTAAGTGTTGTTCCTTATGATTCTGATGAATGCATCTTTTCTTTTATGTATGCCGAGAGCATATGCACCAAGACAAATTCCTTGTGTGTCCAATCACACTTGGTCAATAAAGAATTCTTCACCTTCACCTTCTTCAATAAGACCAAGGAGCTTATATAGGCCAGTTGTAAGTTTTTGGGTGTTATGATAAAAGAGGACCAAAACTGGGGCGCTCATATTGCAGCACTGGTCAAAAGCACTGGTGAAAAATTGATGGTGACCTTCTACTGCTGCACCATAGAGAGTATTTTATTTTATTCTTTTTTTTTAAAAAAAAAATTGAATATTTTACATTTTTAAAACCAAAAACATAATAGAAAAATCAAAAAGACGAAAAAAGAAAAAGAAGAAAAAGAAACCTACACATACACCAAACGGTCAAATACAAAACATAAATAACAACATTATATAATATTTTACAATTTTCTGCATTGACAGAAAGATAGAGAGTATTTTAATTTACTGCACCTCTGTATGGTTTGCCAATTGCAAAGTGGCAGATAGGACAGCGCTCCAGAGGGTTAGCATCATTGGTTGCTCTCTCCCCTCTTCGGAAGAGCTTTGTAGCTCTCGCTGCCTTAAGAAAGTTCAAAACATTCTTAAAGATCCATCTCATCTGGGGCACCCTTTTTTTTTTTGAACAATAACCATCTGGCAGACGGTACAGGATAATACAGGATAATAAAAAGAAGGACAAATAGGCTGAAAGACAGCTTCTATCCCAGAGCAGTAATATAAATTGAATTCTACTGTATAGTGTTATACTAATGCAGTGGATTTCAATTCAATTGTACAGAACGTGAAGGATGTGTGTTTTTGTTTTATTTTTATAGTTTTCTTATCTATGATGTACACTGAAGACAGCATTTAAGTTCATTGTACGAGGTGCAACAACAATAAAGTAAACTAACTAACATAAACAAAATGGTTGGATTATTGTTCCATTCACTTGACCAGATAGAGAAACACAAACACACACACAAACCTGTGCCATTTTGTAGGTGCCTACTAAGGTTGACATCTGGATGGAGATATCACTGGCAGCTGCATCAAGAAGAGCCAAAAGGTTGTCCTTCCTTCCACAGCTGTAATTGGGAATATTGGCTTCTCCGGTAGAGAGCATGTCCAGCAAAGCTTCTGAAGTGCCAATTGTGTTAAAATAGTCATCCTGGATATTGTAGCCAATGGTGACATTTTGCAGGTATGGTTGATCCTTGTTGACCTCTTCAATGGTCATAATGAAGCGGATGATTCTATGCATATCATTAAATGTCTTACTGTAAAATAATGTTCAAGTTTATTTATTACTCTTTGGATCCATACGCTAATACTGATCTATAACCATGGGTAAATAATAGTCACCCGTTTTATTATTGTTCAGAAGATGGGATTGAGATTAACCACCACCAGAGTTAAAAGTTACAAATATATCATTTTGTAGTAGTGCTGATTTTCATTTCTCCAATAACTCGGTTTCAAACTAATTCAATCATTAGAGTAGAACCACAATAAAAAGAAAAGGCCTTTTCATAGATGCCCAGGAAAAGCAAGTCTGAAAACTCATCCTCTCTTTCTATAAGAATGAGGGAATGGCTATCAATGAGATGTTATAAAAGAATAGAAAAGGGCTGGTCAGAGGAAACTACAGCTCTTTCCATCATTATTTTAAAGAAAACCTAGCATTCAAGTGATAAACTCTGCACTGGACAGGGAGGGGGAAACAATCTCGAATTCTTTCAGGTGTTTTCCTTGCCCCATCTCTGGATTTGAGTCTCTTCAGCAAAAGTGGACAAAAGAGGGAAGCCGTGGAAATCAAAAGGATTCAGGAAATTAGACAGGTCCTGTAACATAGGAGTCAGGGAAATAAAAAGAACAGAAGTGTAAATGGAGGGAATGCAACTCCATCACACACATTAACGACTTACGAGTGAGACTTTTTATTTGGAGCCATGTTGAAAGGCAACATTTCACGCAATATTCTTGTGGCACAGAGGACTACACCAATGAGATGGTCTCCTTGCCCATAATAGCTCCATGGATGGCTTTCATCCTGGTGCTCCAAACTCAGCGGGCACTTCAGCCTAAGCTTCCCGGAGACTTGTTGGGACACCAGAAGCATCAGAAGCAGAAGAAAGAGGTCCATAATTCACAGGGATGAATTAACCCCTTTCCTATTTCTAAACAAGAACATGAACAGTTAGAAGAATTCAAAACATTCTATAAGATTGAAATGCCAAGTACTTTACCAGTTTAGATAGAGACAAACTGACTTTCGTCTTGAAAGGAAAGAAATGTACATTCAAAAGCACAGTCCCTGCCTGTCCCAAAACTTGTGCCACACAGCCTGTGATCTGATGCATATATTCTTTCCTGATGCAAGACCTCTGCATGTTGCTTCAGTCTAATGTTTACATCAAAGGTAGTCACTGGAGAAGCAGCAGCAGATGTCCCAAACCCAGAATTGTCATCATTACACTGAGAAACAACTTCTCCTCTTGGGATCCTAAACTACTTCATGGTCTCATCTGCAGAGGAGAAGCTGGAGGAAAGGATGTTAGTGAAAAATCCCAGATACACCCTTGGAGGCCCTGTTCTCTAGTGGTTATCCTTCCTGTCAGGACTCATCCAGAAAATAGATGAAGATATATCAAGAACCAGGTAACTTTTGCTGTCCTTCAAGATGGTCTCTCCTCCAAAGTCTCCTGGGAAAAGTCATCCAGAGCTATGGAGGCAATCAGTCCCTTGAACACTATCTAAAGTTAAGACTAGGGCCTGTTTGTGATTTTCTTTTCTTTTAAATCTTGGTTTATGTACCTTAAATTGGAGCTGATTTTAACATTCTTGAAGTATCTGAAGTGAAATTTCATTTCCTATCTCTTCTAGAAATATCACAGTTTGAATGAGAGGTGACTAGAAGAAAGGAAAGTGATAGCTTGTATCATTGAGTAAATAGGGAGAAAGTTAAAGGAGGGATTGAAAGTTTTTTTTCCCCTTGACACTCTCTGTGTTGTCTTTCCCTATTCATGTAAGACACTGAAATCCTCTATATTTTGAAGTTCCTTGGTTTGTTAAATAAAGAGTGGGCCGTGAGGTCCGCAGGGGAGATGTTGGCAGTGCCTACAGTATGGCGGATGGTGAGACTTGATTTCTTCCCACATCCACTCAGAAACGAATTTGAGGGGACCTGGGATTTGAATTGGTCTTTTTTACTAAAAGTTCTGGAAGAAATGAACTTTGCTGAGAATTTTATTCAAGGAATTTAGTGTCAGAAGACTCCAATTATGATTAATGATGATCTAAGTAAACCATGTGATATCTAGAAGGGGAAAAGACAAGGTTTTCCTTTGTCCTTTTTGCTGTTTATTTTGGCTCTTGAAGTGTTGACTTGTCATGGCCCAGAATGAAGGAGAGCAGAAGGGAGTTTCCGTTAGGTTAGTTGCCTGGCAACAGAACAAAGATTCCGATTAGTGACAGTTGGCTCAGCAACTGTCAACTTTGAATCTAACCTGACAGCAGCCATTTTCTTTCTATTCCACATGGAAGATTCAGAAAAATTCAGCCCTGCCCACCATGGAGGAATTGGTTGGTGAAATGGATAGAATTTGCTGAGATGGGCAAATGGATTTCTTTTAAAGGTAGTCCTCAATTTACGGCCTCAATTGAGCCCAAAATCTATGTCGCTGAGTGAGAAATTGGTTAAGTGAGATTTGCCCAATTTTATGACTTTCCTAGCCACATTGGTTAATGGAATCACTACCATCATTAAACTAATAACATAGTTGTTAAGTGAATCTGGTTTCCCCTTGACTTTGCTTGTCAGAAGGTCACAAAAGGTGGTCATATGACCCCGGGTCCCTGCAACCGTCATAAATGTAAGCCAGTTGTCAAACATCCGAATGTAAATCAAAATGTATGTTCAAATGCTGCAAAGGTCATCAGTGTGAAAAATGGCCATAAGTCACTTTTTTCAGTGCTGTTGTAACTTTGAATTGTCATTAAGTGTTGTAAGCCAAGGACTACGTGAATTATAGGGCAATGTACCTATGAAATACCCTTAGTGTCTTTTTGCATAAAAAGTGCACAAATATCCTCTTAAGACTTATCCTTTTAATGATTGGAAGCTCCTCTTTGAAAGCTTTTTCTAAGCTCCTTTTCCAAAACTCTTTTGCAAGCTCCTCTTTGAAAAACCGATTTGGCAGGGAAGCCCCGGCTTTGTTTGACACTTTTAGGTATATATCATTAGAAGGAAATTCTGGTTCAGATCCAGGCTGGGTCTTCCAAAGAGCACCACAGTGCAAATGGCTTGAGGCAGAGGTGGATCCAGTAGAGAGGAAGGCATGACTTCAGTCCTGGGAAAGGTTTAATATTTATCTTTTGTCAGTCAGTAGTGGTAACCACGAGGATGGGGAGTTTATGTGAGGAAAGTTTGTGTCATTTGAATAAGGAACTTGTAATATCTAAAGAGGATAAATACCGTATTTTCCAGCGTATAAGATGACTTTTTAACACATGAAAATCTTCTCAAAAGTCAGGGGTCGTTCTCCTGTAATCAGGCAGACCAGCCCAAAAGGCTCTGACGAGCCTTAAATGGCTCTGGCGATCCAAGCACTGACGATCCCAGCTTTGCCTGCTAATCAGCCAACGCAGCTGGGATCGCCAGAGCCATGTAAAAGAAAAAAAGTTTTCCCCCTCCAGCTTGCTTACCTTAGCTGCTAGTCGCAACGCTTGCCTTGCTTCGCTTGCCTGAATCCATTCCATCAGCAAGCCACTCCCTGCCTGCAATCAAGCAGGCAGGGAGTTGTGGACTTCAACTCCCAGAATTCCTCAGCCAGCAAAACAAAGCTGGCTGAGGAATTCTGGGAGTTGAAGTCCAGAAGTCTTAAAGTTGCCAAGGTTGGAGACCCCTGTTCTATTGGGTAAGTTTTTTTCCCCTTTGGGAGCTTTAAAAAAATAGTTAATTGGGTTTTTTTTAGTAGTTCTTTCTTAGACCTAGCCATTTAAAGTTTAGGAAGTTTTAAATTTAGTTTTCATATAAAAATAAAATAAAATAAAATAATATTTGTGCAGCTTTCTGAGATTTAGTGTGTTTCTGTAGTGTTTCACTCTAACTACACAAACACAAAAAATCTCAAAAAGCTGAATGTAGAATTTTGTGAGTGTAAAGTGTGAAAGTTGGTTTTTTGGGCTTTTTGTGGCTGTGTGAGGTTCCTGCTTGTTGCAGGGGCCATTTTGGGTCTAGCACAGCTGCTTTTACATTGTGGGTGAGCCAGTTGTGTTGTGTTGTGTGTGTGTAAAGTGTGAAAGTTGTTTTTTTGGGCTTTTTGTGGCTGTGTGAGGTTCCTGCTTGTTGTAGGGGCCATTTTGGGTCTAGCACAGCTGCTTTTACATTGTGGGTGAGCCAGTTGATGTGTTTTAATTTTTATTTGGTGTGCGTTGGAAGAGGGGTAGTCTTATACGGCGAGTATAGCCCAAACCCTATATTTCAACAGGAAAAGTTGGGGGTCGTCTTATACGCCCAGTCGTCTTATACGCCGGAAAATAAGGTATCCATTTCCTTCCAGTACTACACAGACCTCAGGGGCAGAGGCGGGTTCCAGCAGGTTCTGACCAGTTCTGGAGAATTGTAGCAGAAATTTTGAGTAGTTTGGAGAACCAGTAAATACCACCTCTGACTGGCCCCGCACCATCTATTCTCTGCCTCCTGAGTCCCAACTGATCGGGACGAAATGGGGATTTTGCAATAACCTTCCCCTGGAGTGGGGAGGAAATGGAGATTTTGCAGTAATCTTCCCCTGGAGTGGGAAGGAAATGGAGATTTTACAGTATCCTTCCCCTGGAGTGTGGGAGAGGGGGCAAATGGAGATTTTACAATATGCTTCCCCTGCCATGCCCACCAAGCCACACCCACAAAACCGGTAGTAAAAAACTTTGAAACCCGCCACTGCTCATGGGAATGGGAATACTGATTCCCATAGAGCTATTAAGGAGACAAGTTTGAGACCATCCTAAATAATTTTGAAGAAATCTGGCTTCCTTTCCAGAGTCTAGGACATCGCTCATATCTATCCTCTCTTAAAGGGTTGCTTAAGTCAAATATTGGCTAACCTGAATAATGAACAAAACAATTACCAACAGTTTAGAAACATATACTTGATGTAACTGGTCTCTCAACAGAAGAAACCAGAAGGAGATGCTTCTCACTGAGGAAGGGGACTAATGAGAATGAACTGGGCAAAGAACTTAGTTCAAGCACAAATCCTGGCCTAGAGTTTAAAAAATTGACAATTTCAGGATACAGACCCCCTTTTTTTTTCAATTGAATCCATGGCCTTGGGACCTAGTCAAGCCTGCCTGAGTAATTTATCTCAAATCTGAAGACATTTTGAATGGAGGCAATAAAGGAAACCCTAGACAGAAAATCAACACAGAGAGATGTCTCGCATGATCCATTTGAAACGCAAACTTTATTCGCAATATGACTCCAGCTATGAATTAAGTGAAGGAGGGAGGGATCTTTCTCCCTTTCCCCTTCTCCTTAGTATTGTTTCTTCAAGGAAGGGAGGGAAGTTCAGGAAATGGATCACTAGGTCTCCTTGCTCCCCTATTTGGGCTTCAGCTCCAACCCTTTCCCCACCATTGGATGTGGCAAAGCTAGTTCTCCTCTAGGCAGCTCCTGGAGAAGGTGGGCTCTTCCTGCAGCTCCCTAGTTAAGTCAGCATAGTGACGTTTCAGGAATATCCTCCTGACATTATCTAGCATATATTCTTTTCCCATTCACATAGCACAATGCCGAAAGCTTTCCATTTTGGGGACTAAAGTATCATGTGGCTTCTTTGGATAAAAGACCAATCTGGTATGAGGATGTTTTCTTTGTCTTCCCTGGATCAAATATCCACAGAAGCTATTGAGCTTTCCAGATGCTGTTTTGCTGTTGGATTATTGCTTTTCAGTTATGTTCAGAAAGGCTGTTGGAGCAGTGATGTCTCAAGACCAAATCCTGAAATTCTGAGGTCCAAATTCTATAATGTAATCTAACACCCGCAACATAACTAGTGTAGGTCATTTAGAGTGTTGCAACCGGGGAGTGGTGGGGTGTCATCTGGTGTTCTTAACGTCTAGATTTACTGTCCTCATCTACTTTCAAGAACAGGAGAGGGAAGGAGGGAGGGAGGGAGGAAGGGAAGGAGAAAAAGTGTTCAAAGATTTAGGTTTCCATATTCATCATAAGTTAAAATAACTTTTTTTTTAAAATTATTTTATAATTTCTTACCCTGTCCATCTCTGGCTGAATGAAAATTTGAATTATTCAGTTATTTTACTGTTTGAAGATTATATTGTATTTTAATATGATAACTCTTAAATGGTTCATATTTCTATTCGTTTGTTTTTTAATAACCTTAATTGTCCAATTTATGCAAAGGAAGAATACAAGTACACCAAAAACGGCAATGAAAAATGATATGTTATGAGCCTAAAAACAATTTCACTTTTATTTCCCTACTTTTATCATTAGGTGTTCCTTTGTATTTAGATCTGGCCTCAGGAGGATGATGTAGCATTTGGGAAAGAAGATGCAGCCCAGCAGCCCAGCACTAGAGGCCAAGATGGAGAAGATCTGCATGACTACCATAGACTTTCCTTTGGTGCTCAGGTAGGTGGGCAGGAAGGAGACCCAGACACTGCAGAAAACCAGCATGCTGAAAGTGATCAGCTTAGCTTCATTGAAGGCCCCAGGCAGGTTCCTTGCCAAAAAGGCTACAGTGAAGCAAATGGTGGCTAGGAAACACATATAGCCAAGGACAACATAAAACATGGTGATGGAACCTTCATTGCATTGAAGGATGATCACCTCAGGCTGGGAGTGGAGGTCAGAGTCAGGGAATGGGGGAGAAATTCCTAGCCACAAGGCACAGATGATAACCTGGACACCAGAACCAGAAAGGATGATGGAGTTGCCCAAGCTCTTCCCCAACCACTTTCTCATCCTGTTTCCTGGTTTTGAAGCCAGGAAGGCCAATACCACTGTGATCGTTTTGGCCAACACAGAAGACACAGCTATTGAGAAGACAATGCTGAAGACTGCTTGTCGGAGAAGGCAGGAGACTTTCCTTGGTCGGCCAATAAAGAACAAGGAGGATAAGAAGCAAAGCAGGAGGGAGACCAGGAGGATGTAGGAGAGGTCCCGGTTGTTGGCTTTGACAATGGGAGTTTCTCGGTATTGAAGGAATATGAGTAAAACAAAACCTGTGGTTAGGAACAAGATTAGGGCAAAGGAGATCAGGATGATGCTGAGAGTTTCTTCATAGGACAGGAAGGTTATTCTTTTGGGGATACATTGGATTCGGTTCTCAGTTGGATATTGATCATCTGAGCACTGGGTGCATTTTTCAGTATCTGACAAAACAGAAAGTAATATTGCTTTTATAGTCTCTCCTTTCACATCTCAAGAAAGACCTTCTTTGGATGACAACTGATACTGAGAGACAGGAACTCCATAGCAAATCGTAAATAGGAGGCTGCATACATACATATTTAAAACATTCATCTCGCTAACCATTTTAAAGCAAACTTTGGGCAGCTTACACCCAGCAAAACCTCCCCCCCCAATATATACAGCTATAAAAACAACAAGAAGAAATATGATCCAAAAGAGAAATTGTCGGAGTCACAACCATCTTAACTGATGCAACACGCCACATTCTCAGTGGTGGGATTCAAGTAATTTAACAACTGGTTCTCTGCCCTAATGATTTCTTCCAACAACCAGTTTGCTAAACAGCTCAGAAAGTTAACAACCGGTTCTCCCGAAGAGGTGAGAACTGTCTGAATCCCACCACTGCACATTCTCATCCTGCACTTTATCTCAACATTTGGGAGAGGAACTCCTCTAGAATTTCAGAAGGCTGATTGCCTGTTGGAATTCTAGGAAGAAGGTGTGCAATAGGGCAGGAGTTCCAACAGAAAAAGCAGACTTCCAAAGATCCATAAAGTGGCAATATTTTAGGGAACAAATCTGGGGCATGTCTATCAAGAGGGAGTAAAACTCTTCTCCAAAGCACCTGAGGTTAGAACAAGAAGCAGTGGAAGGAAACTAATCAAGGAGAGAAGCAATTAGAGCTAAGGAGAAATTTCCTGATGTTTAGAACATTTAATCAGTGGAACAACTTGCCTCCAGAAATTGTGAATGCTCCAACACTGGAAATTTGAAAGAAGATGTTGGATAAGCACTTCTCTGAAGTGGTGTGTGGTTTCCTGCCTAAGCAGGGAGTTGGATAGAAGACCTCAAAGGCAGGGGTGAAATCCAGCAGGTTCTAACAGGTTCCGGAGAACCGGTAGCAGAGATTTTGAGTAGTTTGGAGAACTGGTAAATACCATCCTGGCTGGCCCCAGAGTGGGGTAGGAATGGAGATTTTGCAATATCCTTCCCCTCGAGTGGGGATGGAATGGGGATTTTGCAGTATCCTTCCCCTGCCACACCTACCAAGCCACACCATGCCCACCAAGCCACGCCCACAGAACCAGTAGTAAAAAAATTGAATTTCACCACTGCTCCAAGGTTCCTTCCAACTCTGTTATTCTATTCTATTCTATTCTATTCTATTCTATTCTATTCTATTCTATTCTATTCTATTCTATTCTATTCTATTCTATTCTATTCTATTCTATTCTATTCTATTCTATCTGCTCTGGTCTTTCATGCTGAGGTCCATGGTGAGCCTCTTGAGAAGGGTGCCTCCTTCAAGACAGAAGGTGGTGGGCCCATTGCTGGAAATAGGCATTAAGTCCCCCAAGAGTGAAATTAGCTGCAATCCTTGAGCCCCTCTAGAAATTCCTTAATGAAGGGATGAGAGGGATCCCATGCAATGAAGGGATGAGAGGGATCACATGTAACATGCTGATGTAGTTGCCTTTTTCAATCTTTATTATTTCTGTTGCATGCTTTAGGTTGGTTTTGTAAAATGTTTCATTGTTGGTTTAACCACATTCTGCCCAAAGTCAGTTCATATCAAAATGATTTGATGTAAAAAAAAAAAAAAAAGATCAATTCCTGAACTAATACAAGAACAGAAACTGAGATTGTGACTTCAGCTTCTAAAAATGAAAAGATGAATTTACTTTCAAAGACTTAATGAACCTCACATTGGTATAAATGCATATTATGTAGATTGTTCTTTATTAATTCTCTTTTCCTCTTCCTTTCTGATATGTCTGGTTGCTTTTAATCCCAAAAGTGAATTTAAAGCTTTTTTTCCTTTTAGAATCACAACTGGATTTGGTCTCTCTCTCTCTCTCTCTCTCTCTCTCTCTCTCTCTCTCTCTCTCTCTGTGTGTGTGTGTGTGTTTGTAATTGTTTGTATTTCACTGTTTAATATCCAATAAAATTGTAACTTTAAGATGGACAGGCTTAGTAGGGATCCTATTAATGAATCCATTATGGTGGTTTTGTTGAACATGGGAGGGTTGAAGTGGGCTATAAACAATATTTGTCTTTTACTTCTTAAATCAGAAGTTAAAGTATTTGAGAGGAAAGAGGAAGGTTTTATGCTTAATAATGGTAAATTTAGTTTACATTTCTCCTGTCACATGGATATCCTCTTGATGGATTTTATGGTGAGTCCTCCATTTGGTTTTCTCTTGTTTCTTGAACCCAAAAGCTCTCCCTCTGTGATCCTCCCACTTAGTTCTTTCTGCTTATGTGGCCCTATGAACTTAATAAAGATCGACTGATGGATTAATTGATTGAAATATTGGTTGCATGATTGATTGATGTATCATTGGCCTATGAAGTAAAGTTAGCTTGGATGAGAAAAAGCCAGTCATCTGAAACAGGGGTGGGATCCTCCCGGTTCAACAACTGGTTTGCCAAGTGCGCGCTGTACTCGACTGATTCGCTGTGCATGTTTACGCAATTGGTAGAAAAGTGAACTTCCGCGTTGCTGAGAGAAAGGAAAACAACTGAGGAGCGGCAATCCACTCTGCCACCCTGATCAGCTGGGCTTCGGAAGCAAAAATATAGGTGAGTATAATGCAGGGATGGGCAGGTGGGCCCACTTGAAAGAAAGAGAGAATTGGTTCGCTCATGGCTGAAAGTTGGAGCTAATGGTTGGTCCGAACTTGTCCAAACTGGTAGAATCCCACCACTAATCTGAAACCATTTCTCACATTTCAAAGAATTCAGATGTTCCTACTAAAAGTAAGATGACAGGACACTTCTCAACTGACAAGTAGAAGAGAGATTTTCCCTGGCATAAGTAACCTTGCAGAATCCACCATGTCCTCCTATCTCTTCCAATCTCATCCTTCAAGATCTTTTTCTTATTCCTCCCATTATGGAAGAAAAACAGTAACGTATTCAAAATTAAATGTGTCTTCAACATGTATCTCGATCTAGATGCTCTGGATGAATCCAGCATTCTTCTTCCAGAGTTACCCACCTTCCTGAGTGGAGATGGTCCCCTTTGGACAAGGAATGCAGTCGTAGCAGCAAATCGGCTCTCCTTCTCGAGCCTTTTTGACAAATCCAGGACGACAATTTTCCACACATTTGGATTGAGGGAAACTCTAAAGCAGGCAAATAAGGAATGCCAAAGAGAACATGTCAGGACTGACCATCCATGGAGAATAGAGATCAATGTAAATATTAGTCCAGTACTCTATAGGCCTCACTTAGATGAATATAAAATTTCTGACTAATTCCAAATGACGGTAAGAATTTGTGGTTTCTTCATTTAGTTCCTCACCTTTGCTTCTGGCAGATCCCTTTGCAATAAGGTACTTTTCTACTTAATAAAGTCTGGAAGGATTGAACTGAAAAAATATTTAAGCATTAAATGACAACTATTGGCTTCCTCCTTATAGCCATCTGAACATGCATTCCTCCATTCTTCAGGTATCCATGACATTCAAGTAAAATTATCTATTCATATTAAATTTTGAAATAAAATTTAATTGTAAATTTTCATTCTTAAATTTAGCATTTTTGCTCACACAGCGCCATGTGCTTCCATTGGGTATCTTGTACGGCAAGTATAAAAGGATACCATTGATGGCTCTGTTCTTGTAACTCGGGACTGTGGGTCACATGCTCCTTTGATGTTCCTTTTATACAGAGATTAGGAAAAAAGCATATTCTGCCAATAAACTGCTACTGGAAGGTATCCTGGCTGTTCCGATTCTCCCTTATCTTCAGTGGCTGCTTAAGGATGAACATAACTACAGCGCATGTGTCCAGATTCTGCGCAGCAGCACTGGGGATTCATCGCAAACACGTGTCTTCTCCACCATAGTTGTGTTATATAACAAATGTGGCAAAGCCTTGGTACTGCTTAGTCTTTTCCCTTTTAGCCCTGAACCTACAACGGGCCACACAGTTGATGGATTGCAATTGTAGCATAGTTAGACCATGTATAATTGACAGACTGGATCTCATTATAGATTTTAGCTGTTATTCATTATTTTATACTAGAATTTTTCATTGTATATTTACTGAGCATTTTTATTTGTTCTGGTCTCTGGTCTAAGACTGTGAAAAATTGATTGATCCTAAATTTAAATTTAATTTATAAATGTATTAAAAATTTTACTCTATTACATTAATTTTCAAAAAGTAAAACTGTGATAAAAAAAGCAACTTCTCACTAGCAGGAGCTGCAAAAAATTCTTAAGGACTATATAGGTGGGGCGGGGCGCTCCCATGTTACACCTCTCCTGCGTGAGCTGCATTGGCTCCCAGTGGTCTTCCGGGTGCGATTCAAGGTGTTGATTAACATGGCTTAGGACCTGGGTACTTACGGGACTGCCTTCTGCTATCGACAGCCTCCCACCGGCCAGTACGCTTCCACAGGGTGGGGCTCCTCGGTGTGCTGTCGGTCACACAATGTTGACTGGTGACCCCCCAGGGGAGAGCCTTCTCAGTAGGGGCTCCTGCCCTCTGGACCGAGCTGCCCCCGGAGGTACGGAGGATCCTGGACTGGCACACCTTCCGCCGTGCCCTCAAGACTTTGTTATTCCAGCAAGTCGGGCTAGCCTAATTTTAACGGTTTTAAATTTTAAATTGGATTTTAATGGGATGTTTTTAATTGTGGGCCAAAGTATTTAATCTGGTTTTAAATTGTTTTTAACTTTTATATTTATGTATTTGATCTTGGCTGTTCACCGCCTTGAGTCCTTCGGGAGAAGGGCTGTATATAAATATAATAAACAAACAAACAAACAAACAAACAAACAAACAAACAAATATAAAACATTGTAAAGCCCTTTGAAAGGGGTTCAAAACAGTTTTCTACTAAAGCTACAAAACAAAAGGTGCTTCCAAATAAGGGCTGTCAACCTTAAAGAGAATGTTATTTGTTTCTTTATATTTTTATTTCCTCAAGTCATGTGGCTGCCATGCTAGTGAAATAAGACTAAAACTGACTGCCTAATTTCTGGAACTGTTGTGATGTAAGAGATCAGGGGTGGGCTGCTGGGGGTTCGCAGGAGTTCGGGAGAACCTCTAGCTAAGATTCTGTGCAGTTCAGAGAACCCCCAAATCCCACTCCTGGCTGGCCTCACCCACTCCATTCCGCCACTCCCAGGAGTCCCCATGTGGCCTGTTTGGGATGCAGGTAAGTGCAGGGTGTGTACGAAGGTTTGGGGAGGGTGAAAAATGGGCCTCCGGAGTCTGGGGAGGCCATTTTCGCCTTCCTGGAGGATCGAGAAAAGCCCCCCCCTGCTGTTGTTCAGGAGGGCTGACTAGGCCATGACCACCATGATCACACCCACCCAACAATTGGGAAGAGAACCTCTTGCTAAAATTTTTGAAGTACACCCCTGTTTAAGATGGATATGAGATCATGAGAAGGTGATCCTTAAACAGGATAAGTCAAATATCTTTTGCTGCCGGAAGTGGGACCTGAGCCTGACTCTTGTGACAGAAGGAGATGTTTCTAAGGCCCAGCTAGATATCCAAAAAAAAAAAAAAAAAAAAAAAACCCACACCCACAAAAACTTCAAAACTATTCCCTTCAAAAACTTGTTTAATAACTTCAATTTGGTGACATCAACTGGCATGGAAAAAGTAACCTATGTTTTTTTTGCCCAGAGAGACTTTAGTATCCAACAATCAAGATAAAAATTGCACTCAAGAACTTTTCAGATGGAAGTGCCTTCTTACAAGCCAAAAGCGAAATCTAAGTACTGGTAGCATATCCTTTCAAATTGTCACTCATGACTTCTGATATGAGGAAAAACTTTTCTTTGGTTCAAAGTCTTATTTCAATTGTTCTGAGTAAGGGCATTATCTCATATCACAACAGTCACTATGATTTCATGTGAACTGAAATCCTTGGACCCCCTTTTTAGGAACAGAAGTCAGGTTGCTCTATCCATGTGTAGAGAGGAATGGATCATTCTGGATAACTATGGGCTGCCTAAAACATTACTGTTGTGGCCTGTTGGCTGCCGACCAATCAGAGGAGGAGGAGGTGTGGGAGTCAGGGTCAGCGTCAAGGCAGCCTGAGGGCTCCAAGAGGGAAGAAGGAATGGAGCTGACAGAGAGATAGAGATAGACAGAGGCAGAGCCTGGGCTGTCCATTGGTTCTCAGAGGGAGACTCAGCAGCCCCCAGGTCTGGAGGTAGGTGCTGCTGCTGCTGATGAGTAGATGTGTACAATGCCTGATGCATGGATGCAAAGAGGTGAGCGGCAACTGGCAGGGCATGGGTGGGGCTAAGGAGGCGTAATTACTACCAGTTCGGTGAACCGATGACAATAATCCCTAGTGATTCCCCCGAACCTGTCTGAACTGCTCGGATTTGGTTCTGACTGAATTTCATTGGATTCAGTCTGACACCAAATTCAGAAACTACTAAACAAAATTGCTTTCTTCTTTGCCAAGAAAGAAGCAAGGCTATCGCAATCACAATCCAAGCACCTGAGGGCCCCTCTCATCAGTTTCATGTGGATTCATTTGACCATAAAATTTGACTATGCTTAGCTTGGTTGAAAAAGGTGTTACGTCTTTGGACAATAGAGAAAAGACACCAATATTTTTCTCACCTTGTTGAGCGACATTAGCTGTTGAAGAGCATCTTGGTTGACAAAAAGTCCCTTTTTTTTAAAACTCCCCAGTTTGCCTTTGATGAGGTAATCTTTGGCTCTAAACCCGCTCACGATGTCCAGATCTGCAGCTATATCTCCATTTTGATCCACGTACAGTTTCCAAAGGGAAATATTACAAAATACATTCTTCTTCATAAAGGGATGAAGCTAGAATGGAAAAGTCCTTGAATTTTAAAAGCAGAAACCTTGGTTTCTTATCCTACATCGTGGATGTCAAACTCAATCACGTCACGTGATGTATGGTGACATATCATGACTTTCTTTGCCTTTGCTGAGCTGGTGTGTGTGTGGCCTGTACGTGATGGACACTCTTGTCCTACATGGTCTATTCACATTTGAATCGTTACAGTTTTACCAGTTGTAAATATGCTTAATTAGAACAGGTGTTATTTCCACAAGTGAACCAAAAAAAAAAAAAAAACATTCAGTAAAATTTGTCAATCACAGACTGAAAAAATATTATTGAGAAAATATACTTAACACAATTGGCCAATTATAGGGAAGATTCTAGAGTAAATGACAAATAAATTGAACAGCAGGGGGCCTGTTGTGGCCTGTCAGCCACCGGCCCCTCCAGCACCCGAATCAGAGGAGGAGGAAGTGTGAGAGTCAAGGTCAGCATCAAGGCAACCTGAGAGCCCCAAAGGGGAAGAAAATTTTCAGTCTGTAATATCAAACTATATTTGCCACAATTTTTGCTGTTGGGAACTTTATGCTCCAAACAATTAGAGCGGCCAAACTTCCAATCTTTTGTGGCACCAGGAGGTTGAGACAATTCCCTCCCCTCTTCCTTTGAGTTCCTTCTCCAAAGGAACCAAGATCCTTGTTGGGATCCAATACCTGCCATGGCTGCAGCCTTGAAGCCTTCAACTTCTTTTTGTCCTTCTGTCTTTTCCTCCTGGATATGGAGGCATATGCAGCATTCAAGACGTGGGTCAGAGTCCTCACGATACTGAAAACTTTTAGTTTAGTTTCAATCCACAAACCAGCTATTTTATTCTCCAATGATGCTTTCTGGGTGCATCTTTTACGACCTTTGACAGAAAAGGCATGCTTTGAAAAAGAACAGTGCAAAGACCGATCTCGATATTGGCGTTCTACATAGTGGTAGGGATATAAGGCATTATCTTTTTTTTCCTGTAAAGAAAAAATCCATACACTATGAATGTACTTTAAAACTTTGTTCCTTTGCATGTAATGTTTCTCAAAGATTGTGAGGATCCAGACTTTCCCTTCTATAGGTCCAGACAACTGCCTAAATGTTAAATGGAAAGGAATAATTCTCTCCAAAAGAGGAACATGTTCGATGGAGTGAAGAAAGACATTGACTTGTCTCCACTTAGAGACAGCATCCCTGAGGGGTGCTGTGCGCCGAGTCGTTGAGAATCGTTGTGATATAACAACACAAATCCCATTCCTGACAAGCATCTGAGTAAAAGTCCTCATGAAATTCTCTCCATTTTCTGTGTCAGAAGCAAAGAGACCAATCAAGGTCCATCTGAAATGGAGGAGCAGTTGGACAATGCCGGGATATTGGATCCCTTCTTTGGGGAACATCGGGTGGAAAAAGGGGAACTGACTTTTATCACTCAGAGCTTCCGAAACAATTTCATAACTGGTCTGAAAAAAAGTTATGAAGAATTCTGTGTTATATTTGGGGTCAGATCAAGTCCAAATGTTAGCTTTTAATCCATCCAACTTGGTTCTTATGAACATATAAGAACATATGAACATATGAGAACATATAAGAACATATATAAGGTTGATCAGTTATTAGACCCCATATGAAGATACATAATATAATAAGCAGAACCTTATATAAAATGGAATAAAAACAAATTAATAAGAATAAAAGAAAAGAATAAAGACTACAAATAATATTTCTGTATCATCACTACAAGTTACCATCATGAGATCCACATATGGGGATACCAGCTGAACTCTTTTGTTCAAGTACAGTTTCATATTATAAGTACGTTTTAAAATTCTGATTGCAAAGAAAATATATTGGTTTAATGCAAAGATTCCAAAAGGTCCTTCATCTATTGTGCGGTTTAAGATACTGATCTCTCTCTTTCATATACATATTAATATAAATATGGTATATTTGATATACTAGAACTACGGCACTTATGGTCTGACCCAAACGTAGTACACAAAATTATCCACTACAATGTCCTACCTGTCAATGACTACTTCAGCTTCAACCACAACAATACACGAGCACACAATAGATACAAACTCAAGGTAAACCGCTCTAAACTCAATTGTAGAAAATACGACTTCAGCAACAGAGTGGTCAATGCCTGGAATGCACTACCTGACTCTTTTGTTACATCCTCAACATCCCCTAATTTTAACCTTAAACTGTTTATTGTTGACCTCACCCCATTCCTAAGAGGTCTGTAAGGGGTGTGCATAAGTAAGATAATTCACTGGGATTTTTTCCATGAATCTAGAATATGTTACCATTGAAAAATATTATTTTGGCTAAAATAATCTACAAAACAAGAATTTTCAATCTTTGCTCCATTTTTCTTCTGCACAGAAGACAATTTGACTAGACACAGAGCCTCTGCTAGCTTTCACAAATGTGTAGCAGAAAGCCCCAAAGCAATGGGAATGGTGTCATGAGAGGATATGATTGCTTTGATCCTTCCCAACTCTGGATCCTAAGCCATAGGAATGACAGGTGAAATGACCACAGTGGAAAGCAATTCTTGAATTCCATAATTCATATCTCCTCAACCCTTATTCTTAATACTGGTATACCACAGGGTTGTGTGTTGATTCCCTCACTCTGTACTGTTTATGTACATGACTATATTCCCACTCATGCCAGCAATTCTATTATTTAATTACAACAGTGGTGGGATTCATCTCTGAGGAGATGAGTCTGCCTATCGAGATGAGGTAGACTTGTTGCTTTCATGGTATGGAGACAATAATTTGGTCCTTAACACCAATAAGACCAAGGAGCTTATAGTGGGCTACAGAAGGAATAGATCAGACATCCAAGCCTTGGTTATCAATGGAGACCAAGTAAAGCAAGTGGCCAGTTTTAAGTTTTTGGGTGTTATCATAAAAGACGACCTGACCTGGGGAACTCATATTGCAGCACTGGTCAAAAGCACTGGTGAAAAATTGGTGACCTTCTATCACTGCACCATAGAGAGTATTTTAACCTACTGCATCTATGTATGGTTTGCCAATTGCAGAGTGGCAGATCGGACAGCACTCCAGAGGATTAGCATCATTGCCCAGAGGATCATTGGTTGCCCTCTCCCCTCTTTGGAAGAGCTTTATAGCTCCCGCTGCCTTTAGAAAGTTCAAAACATTCTTAAAGATCCATCTCATCCTGGGCACCCTTTTTTCCCCCCAAACTATAACCATTTGGCAGATGGTACAGGATAATAAAAAGAAGGACAAAGAGGCTGAAAGATAGCTTCTATGCCAGTGCAGTAACTATATTGAATTCTATTTTATAGTGTTATATTAATGCAGTATCAGTGGATTTCAATTCAATTGTATAGAATGTGAAGGATGTGTGTTTTTGTTTTATTTTTGTTAGTTTTCTAATGTATGAGGAACACTGAAGATGGCATTTAATTTCATTGTACAAGGTTCAATGACAATAAAGTAAACTAACTAACATAAACATAGATGGATTGGTTCTATTGTTCCATTCACTTGACCAGATAGAAACACACACACACAACACAACACACACACACACACACAAACCTGTGCCACTTTGTAGGTGCCTACTAAGGTTGACATCTGGATGGAGATATCACTGGCAGCTGCATCAAGAAGAGCCAAAACGTTGTCCTTCCTTCCACAGCTGTAATTGGGAACATTGGCATCTCCGGTAGAGAGCATGTCCAGCAAAGCTTCTGAAGTGCCAATTGTGTTAAAATAGTCATTCTGGATGTTGTAGCCAAGGGTGACATTTTGCAGGTACCGTTGATTCTTGTTGATCTCTTCAATAGTCATAATGAAGCGGAGGATTCTAGCCATATCATTAAATGTCTGACTGTAAAATAATGTTCAAGTTTATTTATTACTCTTTGGATCCTTACACTAATATTGATCCATAACCATGGGCAAATAATATTCAACCATTTTATTATTGTTCAGAAGGTGGGATTGAGATTAACCACCACCAGGGTTAAAAGTTACAAATATATCATTTTGCAGTAGTGCTGATTTTCATTAACTCGGTTTCAAACTAATTGAATCATTAGAGTAGAACCATCATAAAAAGAAGATGCTTGTTCATAGGTGGCTAGGAAAAGCGATTCTACAAAAAACTCATCCTCTCTTTCTATAAGAATGAGGGAATGGCTATCAATGAGATGTTATAAAAGAATGGAAAAGGGCTGGTCAGAGGAAACTACAGCTCTTTCCATCATCAATCTTGAATTCTTTCAGGTGTTTTCCTTGCCCCATCTATGGATTTGAGTTTCTTCTGCAAAAGAAGACAAAAGAGGGAAGCCATGGAAATCAAAAGGATTCAGGAAATTAGACAAGTCCTGTAACATAGGAGTCAGGGAAATAAAAAGAACAGAAGTGTAAATGCAGGGAATGCAACTCCATCACACACATTAATGACTTACGAGTGAGACTTTTTATTTGGAGCCATGTTGAAAAGCAACATTTCACGCAACATTCTTGTGGCACAGAGGACTATACCAATGAGATGGTCTCCTTGCCCATAATAGCTCCATGGATGGCTTTCATCCCGGTGCTCCAAACTCAGCGGGCAGTTCGGTCTAAGCTTCCCAGAGACTTGCTGGGACACCAGAAGCATCAGAAGCAGAAGAAAGAGGTCCATAATCCACAGCGTTGAATCAACCCTTTCCTATTTCTAAACAAGAACAAGAAGAGTTAGAAGAATTCAAAACACTCTACAAGATGGAAATGCCAGGGACTTTCCCAATTTAGATAGAGACAAACTGACTTTCGTCTTGAAAGGAAAGAAATGTACATTCAAAAGCACAGTCCCTGCCTGTCCCAAAACTTGTGCCACACAGCCTGTGATCTGATGCATATATTCTTTCCTGATGCAAGACCTCTGCATGTTGCTTCAGTCTAATGTTTACATCAAAGGTAGTCACTGGAGACGCAGCAGCAGATGTCCCAAACCCAGAATTGTGATCATTACACTAAGAAACAACTTCTCCTCTTGGGATCCTAAACTACTTCATGGTCCCATCTGCAGAGGAGAAGCTGGAGAAAAGGATGTTAGTGAAAAATCTCAGATACACCCTTGGAGGCCCTTTTCTCTAGTGGTTATCCTTCCTGTCAGGACTCATCCAGAAAATAGATGAAGATATATCAAGAACCAGGTAACTTTTGCTGTCCTTTTGCAAGCTCACCCAGAGCTATGGAGTAGGGGTGAAATGCTCCCGGTTTGGACCGGATCACCCGATCTGGTAGCGATGGTGGCTGGTGGTTCGGAGAACCAGTAGCAAAAATCCCTGTGTGCCACCACCTCCCACCATGCCCAGCTGAGGCGCACAATCATTAGAGGATTTTTTAAAAAAACTTTTAAAAGCATTTTTTCTACAATTTCTTCTGCCTAAAAAAAGCTTTTAAAAGTAGAAAAAAAGCCTCTGATGATCGCGGGGCTCAACTGGGATCTCAGAGGCTTTTCAAAGCATTTTTTTCTTCAACCTCTTCAGCAGAAGAGATGATTTAACACATGTTTTGAAAAGGCTCTGACGATCCCAGCTGTGTTCCTGATCGGCAGAGGCTTTTCAAAGCATTTTTTCTGCAATTGCAGAAAAAATGCTTTGAAAAGTTAAAATAAAAAAAAAAGTTGGCCATGTCCACCCAGTCACATTACCCCACCACCACCAAGCCATGCACACAGAACCGGTAGTAACAAATTTTACATTTCACCCCTGCTATGGAAGCAATCAGTCCCTTGAACCCTCTCTAAAGTTAAGACTAGGGCCTGTTTGCGATTTTCTTTTCTTTTAAATCTTGGTTTATTTACCTTAAATTGGAGCCAATTTTAAATTTCCTGAAGTATCTGAAGTGAAATTTCATTTCCCATCTGTTCTAGAAATAGAATACATCAGAAATATCAGAGTTTGAATGAGAGGTGACTGAAAGACAGGAAAGTGATAGCTTGTATCATTGAGTAAATAGGGAAAAAGTTAAGGGAGGGATTGAAAGTTTTTTTTTCCCCTTGACATTCTCCATGTTGTCTTTCCCTAGTCATGTAAGACACTGAAATGCTCTATATTTTAAAGTTTCTTGGTTTGTTAAATAAAGAGTTGGCCATGAGGTCCGCAGGAGAGATGGTGGCAGTGCCACCAGTGTGGGGGATGGTGAGACTTGATTTCTTCTTCCCACATCCACCCAGAAGCTAGTTTGAGGGGACCTGGGATTTGAATTGGTCTTTTTTACTTAAAGTTCTGGAAGAAATGAACTTTGCTGAGAATTTTATTCAAGGAATTTAGTGTCAGAAGACTCCAATTATGATTAATAGTAATCTAAGTAAACCATGTGGTATCTAGAAGGGGACAAGACAAGGTTTTCCTTTGTCCTTTTTGCCGTTTATTTTGGCTCTTGAAGTGTTGACTTGTCATGGCCCAGGATGAAGGAGAGGAGAAGGGAGGTTCCGTTAGGTTAGTTGCCTAGCAACAGAACAAAGATCCCGGTCAGTGACAGTTGGCTGCAGCAACTGTCAACTTTGAATCTAACCTGGCAGCAGCCATTTTTTTTCTATTCCACATGAAAGATTCAGAAAAATTCAGCACTGCCCACCATGGAGGAATTGGTTGGTGAAATTTACAGAACTTGCTGAGATGGGCAAATGGATTTCTTGTACAGGTAGTCCTCAATTTACGACCTCAATTAAGCCCAAAATGTATGTCGCTGAGTGAGAAATTGGTTAAGTGAGCTATGCCCCATATTATGACTTTTCTTGCCACATGGTTAAGGGAATCACTACCGTCATTAAATTAATAACATAGTTGTTATTATTCAGTGCCATTGTAACTTTGAATTGTCATTAAGTGTTGTAAGTCAAGGACTACCTGAATGAAAGGGCAATGTACCTTTATTGGTGACTGAAACATAAAAAGTTGTTGCATAAAAAGTCCACAAAAATCCTCGTATGACTTATTCTTTTAATGATTGGACAGGATAGACTATAAAAAGAAGAAAGTTACAATGTAACAAGAGAGAGAGAGAAAGAGAGAGAGAGAGAGAAAGAGAGAGAGAGAGAGAGAGAGAGAGAGAGAGAGAGAGAGAGAGAGAGAGAGAGAGAGGTTAAAATATAAAAATACTTATAATTACCGTGAAGAATATTGGAAGTTACTTCTTTATATTTCTATAGCTTTATTTATATCATTCTGATTTTTTTAAACCAGAATTTTTTTCTTGGTATGCTTTTAGCTTTTTCCTGTTTTTTTCTCCCTGTTTCTTTTTGGTTCTATTCTAATCAATTCACATTAGCTTTTATTAGGAGAGCATCCACTCAACACTGTAAAGACCTCTATGTCAGCATTCCAAATTAGGCTTTCTTCCAGCGCTGACATAACAAGATGAACTTTTACCTAGTTTTGTATGTACAGATAGTGTTTCCTGGGAGACGAGGATGGGGGCTACATTCCTGTGAAAAGAACGTGCCGGGATGTAGAGATGGATCTGTATGATGGCCAATGGGACATTGGGGTTGGAGAGCGGAAGAGGAGGGGGTTGGAAGGAGGGGCCAGTTTGGCTGCAATTTGAATCAGAAATGTCGGATATTGCTATTCTTAAAATAAAAATGATTCATTAGACAGTTTGCACTTGAGAATGAAGTTCATTCAAGATAGCACCGAAACCTGACAGACAGCCAAACTCTCCTCCAAATCCAGGCTTGCTGAGTTTAAATCATCCCGTTCCCTCCCAGACATCTGGTCGAATGGACTATGGCTGAAGCCAAGCTCTCGGAGGAAAGCCTGCTTCAAGAAACAGGAGGAGCAGAAGCGGTCGTGATTCCAGCCAACTTGGAAAATACAAAGGTTCAACTTTCTCCGCCTTCCCTCCCCGCAGAACTTCAAGCAAAGAAACGCGAGGCAGATAAGTACCCGGGGACTGTGCCAAAAGCCTTAGAGGTGGAATTTCCTTTTGCAAATGTAAAAGATAAAGAAAAACCCCTAAGTGAATTGGGAAGGGCGAGCTGGGGATGGGAATGGCAGCGAAGCCCAGACAAGGCAGCACCTCCCCACCCCAGGATGAGAGACAAGGTAGAGGACTATCAACACCAAGGCTGGCCCTCCAGAGCTCAGCACAGAGAGGAGAGGGCAGAGAGGGAGGAGCCACCCCAGTTCAGAGGGAAGTTCGATGGTGACCCAGACAACTTCGCCCAATTCCTCGATTCAGCTGAGATATACATAGAGCGGTTCGGACACCTCTACCCTTTCCCCAGAGCCCTAGTGAATGCTATCTCGGAAGGGCTGGAGGGAGAAGCAAAGAGGTGGTCAGCATCACTCTACAAATACAGGGCCCCCCAGCTACAAGATGCAGATGGGTTCTTGCAACTATTGAGAGCCCATTATGAGGAGGAGGAGGAGGACCCCTATGTGGAAGACGAGCTCAGAAACCTAATGCAGAGGGGGAAGCCTATCAGAGAGTATATCCGTGAATTCAGGAGAGTCATTGGGACACTGCCTCCCCTACCAGAGCGATTGCTGGTGTATTTTTTTAGAACAAGCCTAGATAAAAGAATTTCCCAAGTGACTGCCTATCGTGACATCCCAAACCGACTCGCTGAATGGTTCCAGGTAGCGATAAAAGTCGACAGAGGGCTGCAGGCGAGTGACACGTCAAAACCACCAGAGGAAAAGGAGAGAGGCCGACCAGACCAGGGGCCACTCAACAGACGAGAAACCCCAACATCACAGCCCTCCTACAGACCAACTGCCCCACGGAGCCCACTGAAATGCTACAGATGTGGAGGAAGCGGCCACATAGCAGCAAGATGTGGAACGCCTAGACCGGGACCAGCTCCACCGCCCAAAGCACGACTGGAACGAGGGCCCAAGCGCGTCACCCACGTACCGCGGGAAGCTCCCCAAATCCCTGAGTTTTTCGCTCATCTGACCGAAACCAGAGGAATCCCAGAGGAGGGAGATCAGTCCCCCAAACCCTATGACATGGAAGACGAAGGCGAGGATGACCCGATGGTGAGTGGACCCGTCCATCCTTTTCTTTTCCCCATACGCCTAACAGCCCCCAAAACAGGGGCCCAAGAGACTTTCCAAGCCCTAATAGACTCGGGTAGCACACGGTGCCTAATCAACCTACCCACAGTTCTAAAATTGGGAATCTGAGCTAAACAGCTCAAACAACCAATTCGCTTCGAGCAAGTTGATGGGTCCCTAGTGGGAGGAACGTACGCCACACACTTGACTGAACCCGTGAGACTAGAACTCGCAGATCACTGGGAGACGATCCGCTTCATAATAGCCCCCAAGATGACAGTACCAGTCATATTGGGACTCTCATGGCTCGACAAATGGGGCCCAATCATTTGGTGGCAAGAGGGAACCCGCAGGCTGAGAATAGCAAAGGGGCCCCAACCCCTGCCGCCCCGACCAGAAGAATTCCCTCCCACGCTGAAACCCCAAAGCAGCCCTCCACTACAGAAGAAAACACCACCAACACAAGGGTCCCTCCCAGAAGGTGCAGCAAAGCAATTGGCAGCTGCACCCACCACCGCTTGTAATGCAAACCAGATCCCAAGGGAGTACCAAGACCTTGCGGGGGTATTCAGCGAGGCTGAGTGTGACATTCTGCCCCCCCACCGCGAGACCGATTGTGCCATCGAGATTATCCCAGGAGCGAAACTACCCAAAACTAAAATGTATGCCATGACGCCCCGAGAAATGCAGGAAATGCGGGACTACATAGACAAAAACTTACAAAGGGGATTTATTGAGCCAGTGAAACCAAGGGTAGCAGCGCCGGTCATGTTTAAAGAGAAAAAGGACAGCTCCATGAGACTGGTGGTCGACTTTCGAAGTATCAACGCTGTTTGCGTACACAACTTGTACCCCCTCCCCCTCATGAAAGACATGTTAGCCCACCTAGCTAAAGGGAAGGTTTTCACCAAACTAGACCTTCGAGAAGCTTATTACCGAGTACGCATAAAGGCAGGAGATGAATGGAAAACAGCATTCAACTGCCCCCTGGGTAGTTTCCAGTTTAAAGTAATGCCTTTTGGATTGCAAGGAGCCCCGGCAGTATTCATGCAGTTAATAAACGAAGTCTTACATGAACACCTTTACAAAGGGGTCCTCGTCTACCTGGATGATATTCTTATCTACACGGAGACCATAGACGAACATATACCCCTTGTCCGCCAAGTACTGAAAAAACTGCTACGGGCAAACCTATATGTCAAACTGCCAAAATGCGATTTCCACCAATCACGGCTAGACTACCTGGGCTACCGAGTATCAAATGAGGGGATAGAGATGGACCCAGCCAAGGTCCAATCAGTTCTACAATGGCAGCCCCCTCGCACCCGCAGACAACTGCAGTTTTCTAGGCTTTGCGAATTTCTACAGACAATTCATCCCCTCGTTCGCGAAGATTGCCAAACCTTTGATGGACCTCCTAAAGACAGGAAGCCCAGCGATGAAACCTCGCCCGGGACAACCCCTACAGTGGGACCTGACCTGCCAACAGGCATTTGAGATGCTAAAAGGACTGTTCGCGAAAGAACCTGTCTTAAAACACCCGGATCCGGAACAGCCTTTTGTCATCCAAGCAGACGCAAGTGATGTGGCAGTAGGAGCCATGTTACTCCAAAAGAACAACCAAGGTGATCTACAACCCTGCGCCTACACGTCCCGCAAACTCACCGATACGGAGAGGCGATGGGCGGCGTGGGAGAAGGAAGCATTTGCAGTAAGGTGGGCCTTGTTGACCTGGCGGCACCTTCTAGAGGGAGGCCAGAAACCATTTGAAGTCTGGACTGATCATAAAAACCTAGAGGCTCTAAAAACCCCACGAAAACTGTCGCCCAGGCAAGTGAGGTGGGCACAATACTTCAATCGTTTCAATTTCGAGCTTAAGCACATCCCAGGAGGGAGAAATTTCCTGGCTGATGCCCTCTCCCGGATGCTCCAATACAACAGTGAGCGGGAGCAGGTAGTGAATGCCATCATCCCCTCCACCCAAGCTACGGCCCAAGTGATCACCAGACGGCAACGACGTGATCAGCAAGGCCAACTTGCAAGTGACTTAACTGCAAAATTAAAAAATGAAACGCTGACCGACCCCTGGTATCGGGACAATAAACATCTCTTGACAAAAAGAGATGAACTAGCATGGAGGGGGACAAAGCTCTACGTCCCACAGAGTTTACGCATCCTGATTCTCAAGAGGAGCCACGATGTTAAACCAGCAGGACACTTCGGGTTCCTAAAGACTCTGCACCTAGTACGAAGGCAGTTCTGGTGGCCACACATGAGAAAGGACGTAGACAGTTATGTAAAAAGCTGCACCATTTGTGCCACGATGAA